ATGATAATAATGGTCAGGATAGAAGTAATAGTAATAGTAGTAATCCATATAAATATCATGACTGTATTGGTAGTAAAGATATTTCTGATAACGATGATAATAATGATAATGGTAATAACAACAACGACAATAACAACAATAATGATAATAACAACAGCAATGATAATCACATCCATAATAACACTAATACCAGTAAAATGATAATGAAAAGAAAAGTAATATTAGGAATGATGAAATTAATATCAATGATCATGATGCAGATTAAGTGAAAACCTTAATGATAAGCCAAACAATGATAAGAAGAAATTGCAACAACAAACAGGACTTTGCAGAACACAATTTCTGCTACTAATTGTTTTAATTCGCTAATCGTTTCGACCAATTAAAACGATAATTGGTCCCTTAATCCTTTTAATTAGAAATATCAGATATCAGAATATAGTTAACGATTAGAACATTCAAACGATTGATTCAATTACGATCCGGATTAGTGTATATTGCAACTTAAAGATTGATGAATAGATATGACTTGGAACGTTTATAAAGTGGGGGGAAAATAATGATATACGTATGGAATGGATTATGAATTAATTATTTTGTTAATTGTTTTTAAGATCACTTTTTCGACCAACAGCAAAACAGGCAACAGTGATAATTATGATGAAAATAGGAATTACAATAGAAATGATAATGTTACTTAAAAAAATAATAGTGATGATGATAATTATTATAAACATAATAGTGATAATAGAACAAATCATCGTGATAATAGTAATAATAATAAAAATCCTCCTCCTCCTCATCATCATCACCATTGGTATTACCTTCACCATTTTTTTCACTGTTTTCTTAATATTCATAATAATGAGAATTACTGTTCAAAACCTTGTCTTTTTTGCATTACCTTTATTATTCTGTGAACATCATCATCATTATCATTTTCATAACTGTTACTTTTATCATTACTCTTCTTATTGTGATTATCCTTATTATTATTAATCATATAATTATCATTACTACTATTATTACTATCTTTATTATCATATTATTTTGTTGTTATTATTAGTAGTATTAACACTTTAATTCATTATCACTGTAATCATCAGAATCATTATTATCTATCATTATTATTAATACTATTGTAATTATCATTATGAGCATCATTGTTAATGCGATGTATTTATTATCATTATCATTATCATTATCACCATTATTAACATTATCAGTATTATCATTATTATTATCATTATCATCATTATTAGCATTATCATTATTATTATCATTATTTTCATCAATATTATCATTATTATCCTTATTAATATCATTGTTGCCGTTATCAGCATTATTTTTATTATTATTATTTTCATTATTATTATTTTTTTATTTTTTTATTTTTTATCATTGTTATTATTATTACCATTATCATCATCATCATCATTATCACTATTATCTTCATTATCAATGGAGTATACTTTATCTTTATCATAATCATTGTTGTCATTATCACTGTCATTATTAGTGCTATTATTATTGTTATCATTATTTTTATTATTATTATTATTATTATTATTATTATTATTATTATTATTATTATTATCGTCATCATTATCATTATTGTTATTATTATTATCATTATTATTATTACTACTACTACTATTATCACCATTATCATCATTATTATTATTGTTATTACTATCACTGTAATCAATAACATTATCATCGTTATTGTTATTATTATCAGCATCATATTATCATTACTATAATTACTGCTGCTATTGCTGCTTCCTACTACTATTATTACTATCATTATTAGCGTTATGACTATCATGTTATGTCAACCAAAATGCACATTATCAACACTAATAACAAAGGAAATAATCATATTATTATTGACAACAACAGTTTGAAGATTATCCATATATAAGTATAATTAGTATTATTTTTACAAGACTACAATAACAAAAAGAACAACAATAACAAAAACAAAAATAACAACAATAACTAAAACAACAACAATAACAAAAAACAACAACAATAACAAAAACAACAACAATAACAAAAACAATAACAATAACAAAAACGACAACAAAACCAATAACAGCAACAATAAAATAAACAATAACAAATACAACAACAATAACAAATACAACAACAATAACAAAAACAAAAACAATAACAAAAACAAAACCAATAACAAAAACAACAATTACAAAAACAAAAACAGCAAAAAACATTAACAAAAGCTGTATCAACAACAACAAACAACAACAACAACAAAACAACACTAACAGCCACCTGCTTTTTCTTGAAGGTATTCGGTGTTGAAATCCGTGGACGGCGAGTGGGGTCGACTTCACGCCAACGGCTCTGCGACGGGAATGATTGGCATGTGTCAGAGGAAGGTGAGAGAGGGAGAAGCCAGGCTGGAAATCATCCAGATTTTTCGTTGTTTTACTTTCTGAAATTTCGTTTTTGTTTTTTTCTTTTTTTCTTTTTTTTC